AGTACACTATCTCAGTGCCATTTAACTGAGGGCCAAACATGCTTTTGAATTTTGTTATTCCTAGCGTTTGTCCCACTTGGTTGCAGGGTCACCTTGTTCTGCACTGTGCTTCAGTTCACAGAGTAAAGATATCATGGCAAGATATGATGACAAGTTTAGTTTTTCATCTGGATTGTCACAGAGCCTAATACTGATTCGGGCTGAGAGAAAGTGAAGGGCCCAAAGTAACCCAGCTGTCTTCCATGCCTCAAGTCCCCTGCTCCTAGTCTCAAACCCTAACCATTACACCACACTGTCTCTGTTCTTAAATATGGCAGGCAGGCAGCCAGGCAAGCACAAACAAACTAAATCAGGAACCTAGTGTGAGGAGATAAGTATTTTATTCCTTTGCCATTAGCTAGATGTCCCATACCTCCTATGAATGTCCATATACGTTTGTCTAAAGCTCCCATTCTTCCTCCAGCTCGATCCCCAAGCAAATGAGAGTAGGTAAGAGTTTTTGCAGTTGGGCTACTCAACATCTGGAAACCTTTCCCAAATAATCTCATCCACCACCACCTTTACTGTATTTTTCACCACCAAGTAAAAATCCTAGACATTTCAGTATGTTTTACAACAGAGTTTAGTATTTTATGGCTTTGGAGAATTTACTGACTTTACAGATGCTGTTTCTGGCTTTTATTATTGTTATTGTGCCTAAAATAGTTCTACTCCACGCTGGAACTTTTAGTGAACACTGATTTAGACTTTATTTAAATAAATTACTGTTTTAAACTTTGCAAAGTTCTTTTAACAAATGAAAAAAAAAATCAACTGGCAAGATGCCTTATTCTGATTTACAGCCAGATTTTCTTTAGTAACTTCTCATATCTGATTATTATATGCAGGACAAGAATAGTATAAGTCAAAAGGACTACTCTTGGTACTTTATAAGAATTCAAAGACAGAAACAACCTTGTTTCAGCTCCTGCTAAATGTCTAAAAGAATTAGACATTTCAAGCTACAATAATTGCAAAATTATGACACACTGCAATAATTATTTCCCAGATTTGAATACACCAAGAAATTATTGCTTCAGCCTGATTTCTGCAATTTGTTGGTATCTTCCAGATGTGTATAACATCACTTCTCATAATTCCTAGCCAGCAGAGCCAAAACTAACTCAGATCAGTGCACCGAAGAAAAGAGGAGCAAGTTTAGCACTTGTTTCTACCTTGCTAGCAAGCCAAAAAAACATCCTCAGCAAGAAGTTTTTATAAAAATTATCAAAGCATTGCTATTTTAAAACACTACATTACCTTTTCTTTTAATTAAACCTTTGAAGTAACCTATGTTAGTAGCTTAATGTTGTATTACTATTAATAAAGATACTTATGCTTCATTCCAACATGGGAAAAACACATGGAGGATACCTGTGTGACTAAACACTTGGAGGAAAAGCCTAATGACTAACAGTGAAACTAACTGAAAAAGTTTGTACATCACTGTATATCATAATATGGTTTTGTTTGGCAATGATGTAGTGTGAATGTATGGGTTAACAGATGTGAACCCAGCCAACTGTGTATTGTTTAGCAAACTGTGGTTAAAAAACATCATTTTGCACAATGTGTGAACCCAGCAATTGTGTCAGATGGCTGAGCTTCATTAAAGGTTTTTAACCAAATGCTGGAAGGCTATTTCTCAGAGAACAGTGCAGGAGGCCATTTTAATATACTATACTCACATCTAGGTCATCAATTCTTAAGTGCAAGTAGCTGCCTGTGACAAAAACAAGGATCAAGGCCTTTCTTTCTTTTTTTCTTTCCCTAACAAATTAAAAATCCCAAACTCTTATTCTTGTTCTTATAAAGTACCCAATAATGTATTGATGTATGCAAGGTTTCGAGTGCAATTTTAGAAGTGCTTTAAATGAATTCATCTGTGAAAGCATGGTTATTGAATGTCTTTCATAAATGCAATTGATTCCATATATTTATAACTTGAATTTTATTCCAGTGAAATTAATATCTACTTAGAAAAAACACCTCACTTATTTAGTCCAAGACAACTTGATAACATCTCTTTCAACTATAGTTATAAATATCATGCACAAACTTCCAAAGCAGAAGTTGTCAAGATTTAACATTAGCATTAATTTATGTCATAACTGACTGTTATTCTCCAGATAATAGCAACGTATTCAGTCCTTGCTGTCTGGAAGAAAATGAAAAGAAATTTCGTCCTACTATTAATCATTTAATTTAATTGATCAATAATACATTTCCTTTCCTCCCCTTATTACTTCATCCTAAAATCATCTTCTGGCATGGAAAAAGTTAGAACAATTCACTAAGAACCACATTGTATATTATAGCCAAGTCCAATGGTACTGCAAATTTTTAAACCCTAACCTTTAAATAATAAACCAGCACCACTGCATTAAGTCAATGACAAGCAAACTTTTCAGGAGAGGGCTGACACTATAACGGCACTGGGGCCAATTTCAAATAAAATACTTCTTAAAAGCTAAAATCATGCAGGTCTTCATTCCACAAGCACGGAGATTCTGCAAGATTTCAGGGTTGGGGGGTTAATTTACTTACTTTTGGATTCTGTCACACCATTAAAAGTAGGTGACTTGATGTCCTATCTGGTGCCAACTCCTGTCTCATTATTATTGCAACTTCCCAATCCCTTTGGTAATGAAAAGTCTAAGCTATTCTCCATCAAGAATCTTAAAATACAATGTTTTCAAAGAGGACTGAAAGTTGCATCCTTCTAGCCACAGTTTCCAGAGCTTTTACATTCAGGTAAAATCTTTCTACACCGTCTCCCTGAGTGACAGAAACAATTTTTTTCTCTTATGCATAGAAACTGCCTTACAACAATGTTTCACTATTGTTCGATGTGAGCTGATAAGAACACACCCACCTCTTGCATATTACATAAAAATGTATTAACTTTTTTTCCCATGAAGTTTCTCCATTACTTATCTGCCTATTAAGGGCCCCCTGGTAAATTCCAAGGTAAGTAATTACCTGGAACAATTTTGAAACCATTGCCTTAGAGCAAAGCAAACTTGTTCTCAATGTAGTACTAATTGAAAGCTCTTTTTCAGAACTTCCATGGAACCAACAGCATTAAGGCCAGTACATCTATACTTATTATGCATTTTGCTGCTGTTTTTGTTTTGCAAACAGAAATTGTACACTTAATTTAGCAAGCAGCCATGAAAGTCATTCAGAATAAACAGGGAGAAAATAAAGATGCCCAAGCTTGTTCCATCTATGAGTTTGCTTCCACTGCACATATAAGGTACCACCTAGCACAAAGCCTTTTGTTTTATGTGTAACGTTTACCTACTGCCTCATTACCGCAGAAGGTTAAATGCCTGTACCGCATTCACAGGGTGCTCACAACTTCCAACACATTATCTCAGTCAGTCCCCTACAGTAATTACGTGTGATGACAGAGCTAACAGTTCTGCACCAAACCAGAAGGAAACAAAAAATCATCCATGAGCATAAGCTATAGCCACAGGTATCCAGGTCAGAAAAGTTTAAATCTGGAGTGAACAACCTTTGGGTGGCCTCATTTTTCCACCTAGATTTCTGTTCAAAGTTATGGTCCATTTCCTTCAATCAGTGTGCATGCTAAAAATATTCCGCTGAGACCCATAACTGATCTCTCTGTAGTTGGGTGCAGGTTAAACACACCATTGTTCTAAAAAGGAAATCCAAGTTTAGAAACAACATAAGGATTATTATATTCTGAGTGATTGTTGAAAATCTTCTAAGTATAATTTCTCTAATAGAACAACAACAATAAGCATCCTATTTGAAATTCATCAGCCAACCTTCAGACCAATAGTCACTATTGTCTCAACTATTCCAGGAGGTATAGTTTTATGAGAAATCAGCCATAAATACAGAATCTCAAAATCTAAGCAATATAAACATAAAACAATCTGTTTTATATAGACAACAGTAACACTTATCAAGCTTCCTGGTTTGAATAATGATTATGATTATGAACTACTTCTTTAAGATGGTAAAGAGATATAATATTACACATTTTGTTCCATTTTTATCAGCATTTTCATGTTGTTAAAAATCTATGTAGCTGGTACAGAATAGTTATGTCCAGTCAACTGCATCAGTCCAACAATTTGTTATACACAGGGAAGCTTGGATGCTTAAATGGAATATTCTATTTATACTGAATCCCTAAATCAATTCGGAAAGAGCCAAATGGAAGAAACTAACATGTGTAGAGAGACATTCTTTCTAATTAAGAAAGAGGGAATAACATTCTTTTCAGAATTCTTAGAAGATACTGGATCTTTGAATTACAATAGCTCATTCTGCATGCAATACTAAATGATAATTTAAAGCTTCTTGACTTATCCTCCCAACCATACTACCAAAGGGGAGCATGATACCAAGTGATTCACTACTGCTCATTCTCATACCAATAAACCATGGTTTACATTGTAGCAACCAAATCAGTTATGTCTTCTTGCTTTCTAAAAATGCTATCCTGGTAATTCAGTATATCATCAATAACAAAACTCCAATCTGTGATGATGCTCCAAGTAAATAACACAATATAAATAATGAATTCTGTCCTCTTTGATTTTCCTTTAAAATTCACGGGCTTGTAACACAGAAAATACTGTAAGTACACAAACAAAAGATACAAAACATAAATTGGGAACAAAAAAAAAGAATATAAACAGTATAAAACCTGGAAGATATTGAATCACCATACCATTCAAATGTATTTCTTAGCATAAATCAGTTTTTACAGCTATAATAGGATCTTTAACCTGAAGCAGGAAGCAACAATAAAGTCCAGAATAAGCTATAAATTAAGGCCACTTCTTCCAAGTTTATTCTCTATGGGAAAAGGATATACAGCAAAAATATGGATGAGTACAAGAGAATAGGCGACTATAGGCTTGAGGTCTACAGCTTTAATCCTTACATTTAAGAGATGAAATTGCCATATAAAATACCTTGACAAGTTTTAGAAGCTGATAAAGATCTTCAACCTCATCACCCTCACATTTTGTGTAGGTGCTGCCTGTGTTAACGCTGGTACCCTTAATCGTGTGACGATAAAGAGGCAAACCCATTGCTTCAGCATATAATTCTACAGCATGATGACCCACTGTTTGATACATGTAACTGTCCAGTTCATCGATTCCTTCTGAAAGGCAAACAAGGCATTACTATATTATCAAATGCACACAGTCAAGAACATTACAGGTAGTCCTCGAGTTACAACCATTCATTCAGCGACCATTCAAAGTTATGATGGTGCTGAAAAAGTGGACTTATGACTGGTCCCTGAAGTTACAGTCATTGCAGTGCCCCCACGGTCATGTGATCGCAATCTGGGTGCTTGGTAACTTGTTTGCACAAGTGGTTGCCAAGCACCCCACAATCACGTGATCACCATTTGCAGCCTTCCCTGCCGGATTGCCACAAGCAAAGTCAATGAAGAAGCCAGCAGGGGAGGTTGCAAAATGCTCAAGTAAGTCTCCCCCACCCACCGCTTTATCCCTTTCGCTGGCACCCATGCACTGCGTCCTCCTTCCATTTTTGCTTGCTCACATACATCATGCCCTACTTCCCTCCTTTGCTCACTCGCACGCACCAGCACCCTCCTGCCCCATTCGCTCGCTTGCATGTGTGCACTGCACCCTCCTTTTCTCACTCACTCACATGCACCAGCACCCTCCTTCCCCTTTGCTCGCTCATATGCATTGTGCTCCCTTCGCACTGCACTGCAGCTCTGGGGCTTTGCAGAAGGAAGGTTTTGCAGGAGGAAGAGGAGGAACTGCTAGCAGCTTCCAATGTGAGCTGCAGAGTGTGTGCCGGAAGCATGCCTGGAGAGTCCTTCAGCACCCAGAAGCGCCCCTGGAGTGCTCCTTCAACATTGGAATTGCCCCAGAGAGTCCTTGGGAGGATGGAGGGGTGCAGTGCATGTGTGCGTGCAAGCGGAAGTTGCAGTGTATGCAAGCAAATGGGAAAGGAGACCACTGGTGCATGCAAGTGAGCGAAGGGGGAAGGAGGGCACGGCATGCGAAGGAGGGTGTGGTACATGTGAGTGAACGAAGGAGGGTGCAGTGTGTGTGAGTGATGAAGGGGGAAGGAGGGTGCTGGTGTGTGTGAGTGAGTGGAGGGAAGAAGGGCACAGTGCATGTGTGCAAGTGAGCAAAGGGGGAAGAAGGGCAAGGGTGAGCGAGCAAGTAAGCAAAGAGGAAAGGAGGCCAAGAAGCCCCTAAACCATAGCATGGCAAGCAGCCCCAGAGCCACGTAGTTCTGGGGCTGCTTGCCGCCCCACAAGGCAGGGTGCAGGGCAGCCAAAAGGGCAGAGATGGTGGGGAGATAGGCAGGTGGGGGGAGTTGGAGGCAGTCCCTTACCTTACTGAGGCTCCAGACTGGGAGGGGCCAAGCCCAGAATGGCTTGGATTGGGGTTGGTCCTTGGCTAACAACCAGTGGAATTCATTTAACAACAGCACTGGGGAGTGCTGGGATTGTTGTCGCTAAGCGAAGTGGTCACATGTCCCGCTTTATGACCACATCACTTAGCAATGGAAATTCCAGTCCCAACTGTGGTCATAAGTTGAGGACTACCTATATCCCAATACATTTAAACCTCCATTTACAGCACTTCAAAACAATAAAAATAAAGAGAGCAAAAAATAACATCTCTTTTATCCCCAATTTCATTTCAATTACTCCCAAACGCAAAATACAGAATAATGCTGAAAACATCCCAAATATCTTAAAAACTAATAAACTTTATCAAATACACTTACTGCTTCCCTGGGCATGGAGATTATTTTTAACAAGCATCAAACAAAAATTCAGTCTCATGTAACGAGTTTGCCCAGGATATCATCATTCATTCATTTCTTCCTTCCTTCCTTCTAGAAAATCATTGGCCTTTTTAAAAGTCATAATGGTATATGTGCAGAAACACTCATAAGGTTAAAAAAATATTGTAATAAAAAATCCTAGAGGTTAGCAGTCTCTGCCTCCTGCTGCCCTCATCCACTGAGCAGGACTCCCTGCCACAAAGGCCTTCAGAACCAAAGCCTGTGATAAAGACCAGCAAGTTATCACTTGCACTACAGCTGGCCATAATAAGAATCATGAAACACTAAGAACTGCCCTTGAAGTTTTATTCCTCTTTGCCATGCCTTCTTGGTTGTAAGCTAAAAGCTAGCAACTATCATTTCTATTATTCTGAAAGCCTTTTTCTGATTCCTTATGGCTGAAAGATATAAATGGTTTTAAGATTTAAATAATACTAAATAAACGAACTATTATAACAAGTAATCATGAGGCACATCCTAAACTGGGAGAAGACAACCTTGTGGTACTTTATAAACTATGGATTGGAATGAGTTTCCTTTGCACTACCACTAGTCCAACAACTGTATTCAGCCCACTTTAGACTTTTGGTGATAGAGGGTAGAAGATTAAGGAGAAAGAGGATAATCAATAAAGTTTTCAACAGAGGGAAGGACCCTTTGCATCCACAGTAAAATTACCATGGATCCAAGCCACTAAACATAAATGTTAATATTTCCATTTAATTAACCACATTCTTCATCTCTTCTCTGTGTGTAAATCTCAGTATCTGCAATACATTTTGGTAAGAGCTAAATGCTTCTCTGCATAAACATGTATAGATATACTTTACCAGTCTAAATATTATGATTAGATTTACAGCCCATCTCAAGGAGCTGGCCCAAAGTCACCCAGCCAGCTTTCATGTCCAAGGGAGGACTAGAACTCACAGTCTCCCAGTTTCTAATCTAGCACCTTAACTGTTACACAAAACTGGTTCTAAATTGTTAAAAATGTATTATCAGTTTGGAGGGATACATTCAGGTCTTACAAACTTAATCAAGTTGCCTGAAGTGGAAGCACAAAATAATCTTAAACAATTGCAATGTATGCTGACTTTTATTTCAAAAGATCAGAAAAAAATACCCTCTAAGTGAACTCCTAATTTAATATTTATGTAATTTACTGCAACTTTCAATGCAGTAATAAATCAAAGTTTATGACATCTCATGCACAATAACCCTTAAAATAATCATGTAGCCTTAAATGGCAACACTGAATGTTTCTGGTGAAGATTAATGTTTAAAACAAACGTAACACACAGGACCGCAATACATTATCCCAGCTTATTATCTTCTATAAACAACTTAGTGGGGAACATGAATGTTACCCAGAGCAAATCTTTCCACAAAAACCTTACCTTTTCACCTCAAAGTAAGTTCTGTGTACACATACTCCCAAGCAAATGTAGAATTTGAAATACTTTTTACAGTAGGTAGTTATGAGCTACATAGACATAATCTGACTTACTATAAAGTAATTTCCTGTGCTCCTATGAAACACTCCTAGCAAGTCCATTTTTGTTTGACAAATAAAATGATAAAATATTGGCTCTAGATGGAGAGTTCGGAGGCTGTTATATGGGAAATGGGGAATCCTTACCTTTGTTCTCAGTAGGCCTTAAATTGGCCAAGGCAACAATCTGATGGCCGGCAGCAAGACAACACATCATATTGTAAGTGCTGTCTTTTCCACCACTAGAAGGGAAAAAAAGGCTGTATTATTTGATAATTAAACTTTTCAGAAAGAACTCTCTTGAAATAATATTTACATTTACCTTAAAATGGCAATGAAACTGTTTACACGTCAAAAAAATCAGTGTTTTTCAATATCTGAAATATCAGTATGTTTTTAGTTTTTTTTTTCAGTTGAGTCACTATGTTTATGCATGTTTTTTAGTTGGGTCACCTATACCTTAAATTCAAATCAATTAGGTAACTGATACTTGGAGCCGTAGCTTCATTTTCTTTAATCTCACCAAAGGTTTCTTATCTACATCATTATTTTTCACATATAAGTGGGAAATGAAAGTATTGTTTGCACAATAAAGTACCACGGGACAATGTCTTAAAGAACAACTTCTGACTTTCTAATACTCTTATCTAGGCCAAATCAGGATGCTTTCATAACTGTCTTAGCCTGCAGAACAAATTTTACATCTACCTAGCACAATGTGATATGAGGCTGGCAATTGCTAGTGTTAACAAACAATATACTACAATATGTAAGATTAGGTGTGGTAAAGAGTGAAATTCATTTTATAATCTTGATCTGTATTAAAAAATGCAGCACCATTCTGCTTGAATGCAAATATTAAAAACAGATGCACAGCAAGAAAAAAATTTCCACAACTAAAGCATCAAGCTTTAAAAGAGTTATTGTTAAACCTTCAATGTCAGTGACTTTTCACAGGCTCAAATTTAAATGCAAATTAATGTTGTGTGGGCGCAAGACAGCCATCAGAAGCAATTTAGCTACCAAGGATATCAGACAGAATGAAAGGCACTATATTCCAGAGTATTTGTGATGCACAAACGTTCGATTCTTCACAATTTTCCTCATTTTGAAAAATGCTCAAATTGCTAGTACTTCTCAGAGCACAATATGACTGCCCTTTAAAAAAAAGTAAGCACACCTAAACTTGAAAAGTAAAACAAGGAAACTATACAGTTATAACTAAATTATTTTTGTCCCACTAAATTCTATAGAATACGCCAGATTAACCAACATACAGCAACTCAGAGAGTTGTGAACAGAACTCTACATTAATCCAAATGTAACATTGGATAAATAATTTGTTACATTTGAGGTAGTACCAGCAGGCTTAAATAAAATGATATTCTGTTACTATCTTCTATTGTACACTGTCCACATATATCTCAAATGTCTCCAAAGGGTCCCCGAAATCCAAAGCGTATTTGCAGAGGAGACAGATGCAGAGTATATGAAGGTATCTGTGCAGTTGGTGGATGCCATTCCATCAATAAAGAGATGCCACCGGACATCACTGAGTGCATCTAGGGAAGATACCATAGGTTGAACTATTCCTATTCACGTTTTTGGAGGACAGCCTTCCTCAGCTCTCAAGGAGATTAGACACAGAGACAAACTAGTATCTATTAACCACCATTAGCCAGTCCCAGACTAAAGCTAGGCAGTAAAAAAGGATATTTGCCACCCCATTCCACAGTGTGGTTGTCTTCGGTGTCAAAAGGATTGCCCTAACATTCTAATACCTTCTTGGAAAGAGTGTGATCAGTCCATCTACATACTAAAACCCATTTGCCCAATAAATGCATAGAACATTTTCAAAAGAGGGGGGAGAGGGAAACCTCTTCAAGACAGGAGTACAACCCAAACTTTGCTCAGTCCAGAAACCCTAACTATAATAAGCTTTACTTGTCCCAATTTTATTTATTTAACATAATTCAGAACATAACTAACTGGGTAATTAAACATTACTTTCTAAGGAGCAGAGTGACTTCAAGAAATAATATTCTTTGCATCTTAAAAAACCTATAGTCCTTCCAAAGATCCATTGTCCGTAGAATACTTCAATGACCTAGTAATTGGCCATGTGCTTGGGGTTTGTTATTGCAAATGATTTGTTGTTTGTATGTAATTACATATTACTTAGAAGAACTGTCATTTAGATTACAGCTCTGAGCTTGATACCAGACATTAAGATACCTATGGAGAAATTCAACAAGTGGAAAGAAGACATATAAAATAAAATTGCTAGTAAAAATCTTAATACTAATTGATTGGTCTGCAAACTACAAAACAGACCTTGCAATAGGATATGCCAAGTAACACCCACACACTTTTATCAATCTCTTTTTTTTAATTATTATATTATTAATAGAATAATTTGGAAAGAAAGTCACAATAATTTGGAAGGTAAGTCACAATCACATTTACAAGTGGCCATTCCATTCAACCCATAAATGCGTGCAAGCCACACAAAACTGTTCTTTAATTGCCAACTGGTGGAGCCACCCCATCAAAACTGTAGCAAAGGGAGATGGGAAATGCTAAAAAATACCTAGTTCTAGCGAGCTGTCCTCCCATAAGATTATTTATTTGAGCAGGCTGTTTTGAGAGTTATTTAATCTCAAGAATGGTTGCTGAACTTATAATGGCATTTTCCTTTTAATATAATTCATCATTAACCTTTGCCTATGATTCACTACAGTCTTTAGAGAATAGACTTCCAAATGATTTGTAGCAATTCAAAACATTTTCAAACTCTATATTGTTTAACTACAGCAAATCAAATCTAATTGTGCTTCCAAAGTGGAAAATGTTTAAAATTAAGAATACAGTATTTCTATTACCAAAATAATTTAGTATGTGCCAAGCACGTATGTTAAGACTCCCTGTTCTTTAATTATAAGCCTATGTTCATATCACATACTGAACCACAAACTAGCCAGCTACATTTTAGCCTGGAATGTTGAGCAAACTCAACCCATGCAGTTAGTTCATGGCTGAATATGTCATGCAGTTTATTGGACTAACTGAATATGCCATGTTTAAATTCACCAAGGAATGCACCATGTAAATGTAACTTGAGTATACGACTCTTGAGTACCATCCCAGATATTATTCTGAAGAGTTTATTTCAGTTTAGACCTAACAGTACTACTGTAGTATACCAAATAGCTATCAACAGAGAACTGTTATGAACAGATACTCATAAAAAGAAGAATCTTAAGACCTCCAAAAGGTCACCATGCAGGCATTCCCTATACATATACCCTGAAGTTGTAGTCCAAGAGTAGGACAAATAGTGCCTTTTAAATGTTTGGTTGTAGTACAACTCGTACTTTGCAATGCTTCCCAAGTGTGATGGGACTGGATATCCATAACTTCAGAAGAGTACTTTATCCTAGATTAAAAGGCAAGCAAAACCAAGCCTGGATTTCGCTGACTACACGAGAAAGAAAGAAAGAAAGAAAGAAGGAGAAAGAAAGAAAGAAAGAAAGAAAGAAAGAAAGAAAGA